TCAGAACTAATACAACTTCCAAGATACGTAAAACGCTCCACAACCTCCAGTGCCTCTCCCTGGATCGATCAACATGCGCCGAAATGCCCACCAAACCAAACAGACCCATGTTTGCCCTAAATCCTTGAACAACAGCAAAATTAGTCGTCCAGAAGGCTGCACTGAACGAGCTGCAAGTAGCAGCGGTCGAAATTTTCGCTCACAAGGGGAAAAACTACGTTCCCCGGAGGAACAAATGCCCTCTCAAACCGGACTCCCACAGGGCGAAAAAAACATTGCAACTGGAAAGCAGCCATCGAATTCACCAAGATAAAAAGCAGACAAGTGTGCTGCAGGGGCCCTTTCAATGTCTTGGACTCAAGCCCGGCATACAGCTATTAAATCTGCTAACCTCTCTGGCAGCATGCCTCTCGGCTCCCCATCTTCAGAGGCAGCAGCGACAACGTTGAAATGTTTGTCCACAAACTGCCTTGATATTACATAGCTTGCCTTGAGCAGCCGTCCATACTCGCACTTACAGAAGCCTGCCTCACATCAGCTGTCTCTGACGTGGAGATCTCGATAGACGGTTACTTTATTTTTTGAGCTAACTCAAGACGCGGGAGAGCTGGTGGGGTTGCTTTATTTTTACATGCGGCCATACCCATCCCGATTGTTCTCTCTGATACCACTCCTACATCATTTTTGAGATGTATTGTGAATCCAAATCCCGCTGTGCGGGACCGATGCTCTTCTCGGTGTGGCCTACCGTTGCCCCTCGAGTTCTCCGGAGGATGACCAATTTCCCATACAAACCATTGAGCAACTCCTCCAGTTTCCACTTTACACATCGCTTGCTGGTAAGTGCTTTTAACGCTCCCAAGGCCTCCTGGATGGAGCTCTAATGCGTCGGGTCTAGTGGACATTTTTCAGCGGCGCTGACCAAATTCGTTCAACAGAGTGCTTGGACTCACATGTCCTCCTCGGTGTGGCCTACCGTTGCCCCTCGAGTTCTCCGGAGGATGACCAATTTCCCATACAAACCATTGAGCAACTCCTCCAGTTTCCACTTTACACATCGCTTGCTGGTAAGTGCTTTTAACGCTCCCAAGGCCTCCTGGATGGAGCTCTAATGCGTCGGGTCTAGTGGACATTTTTCAGCGGCGCTGACCAAATTCGTTCAACAGAGTGCTTGGACTCAACATGTCGTCGCATCCACCAGATACCGTATAGGCCAACTACCATCCCTCCTGGATTAAGTCGTCACCAACGAAGAACATTTCGTCCGCCAGGTGTTAATTAACTCTCCCGCTGGGACATAGTGACCACTGTGTGCTGATCTTCGGTTTAATTTGCTACTGGGCCAGAAACCTCATACAGACTTTTCAGGAATGCACATCGTACCTGAACAGGTTAAGCTGGTACCAGCTTCAGTGGAGGAGTTAAACAGGATCAGAAAGTTCACGAGACTGACGCGATGTTCATGCCGAAAAAAAACAGCACGTAGTCTTATGGACCGCAAGCTTTTTAAAAGGATTCGACGTCTTCTGGAAAAGTGGTATCAATAATCGTGCAGAAAGTTGACTAAAGGAGGTAGAAGATGAGTTGGGTCTTCCTAAAATGCGGAACCGCTGTAAATCAGAAATCCGCCAATGAGCATACGAGAACAAAGCACTATACTGGACCTCACCGGGAAAAATAAAGTACTGTTTAAGTACATGAGACATCGCCGCAGAAATAAGCCAACCACGTTCTCCGTGAGGGATAGGAACGGAGAACCCACCAGTGACCCAATAGTGGTATCTGAAGTCTACGGAGAACACTGCGCAGGCCTGTATTTTGCCCCAGTGACCTCGTCGCACCCAACCTTATCAAGGTATAACTACGAGCGGCCTCTAACCAACTTGGTCTTCACAGAGGAGGACATTTGTCAACTTTCGTACAAGACAAACCCGTTCTGCGCTTTGGGGTCAGACGAGGTCCATCCAAGGATCCCGAAGTAAACGTCGTTCCCACTGGCAAAGCATTTCCACTTAGTGTTTCTTCAGTTGCTCGATCAGCGTAAACTTTCCTCTGCTTGGAAGGGAGCGATTGTCGCGCCAATCTTCAAAATTGATGACCGACTATCACTAGCGTACCGCTCAAGGTGATGAAACGCAATATGAAGTGAGCCATCCTGGGCCACCTCAATACCAACAAGTTGATATCCCCAATTCAACACGGATTCCTCCCAAACCGTTATTGTGTGACGAACATGCTCGTATCTATGGACAGCTTAACCCAAGTAAGGACGGGGGACTCATATCGGGCGCAACATTTTTCGACTTATCAAAAGCACTTGATTGAGTCCCTCACTTCCCGCTGCGCCAAAAAACTTAAGTCTTACGGGATTCAAGGGGAAATTGTACGACGGATTAAGGCGTTCCCATCAGACAGAACATTTCGAGTGAAAGTAGGCTCGATTTACTCTTCGGAGCGGGTCTCCATTTTGGGACCACTTCTGTTTCTGATCTACATAAACGACCTTCCAGACGTTCTTCCAAGTCCACTCAATCGAAAATCAGAAGCGCATTCATACCTCCGGCAACCGCCAGGGTATCTGAGCTCTGAGCGCACAAAATGTCATTAAAACTGCCTATGAGGGTATCAGAACTGTAACTTGTTGGGGCGTGTGCAGACTCAATAAACAGGCAGCGATTATCGGTGAGTTCACAAGTTACTCTCAAAGACGTTACCAAACGAACCTCATGAAGATGACCACCAACGGGCAGCCATTCAACCAGAATCATCATCATCATCATCATCATCATCATCATCATCATCATCATCGACACCATGACATCAGTGTTCAACACCGGTGCTTCACTGCCGTACAACCATGACTTATTTGAAAGTCTTATTGAAAAGAAAAGAGTAAAGGTGGACGGAGAAGGGACTTAGTGCTAGCTTAACACAATCATTCCGAGGTGCCTACACCTTCAGACATTCACTCAGGCGATCTGGACAGAAACTGACAACAAGGACGCCACTGACATCGGTTGGCAGCCATATCTTGTAGTGTCTCCAACCAGGCACAGTGAGGATCACGCGGTCCC